AATAATAATAATAAAGAAAATATCTGGAACGGAAAGAAAACCCCTTCTGAGCCGATTCAAAGAGTATATTTTAAAAATAGACAGGAAGGTGGAATTTATCAAGGGTACAACTCCTGTTAAACAGAACCTTTCTAAGAACCTAAATACGTGAAAGATCATCAAGTGGGGTCCAGCTGGAGCAAGTCTGGAGCCCCTGAACTATATCCTCCCAGCCCTGTCCTCACTTCCTGTTCACTAAGTCACTGCTCAGTCATTCCTACATGCTCTCATTCGACTTTGTACCAGACACGAGGATCAAGAAATAAAACTCCAAGTCTACTGTCACCAAGTGACTGAGTGACGCAACCGGACAGAGCCGACTTGCCCACAGGGCTCCTGAAGGTGTCAGGCTTTTTTAGCAGACTGCCTCATCATCCTCCCACGGAGCGGCTGGAGGGGCAGAGCCTCCAAACTTCCAGTTCACAGCCCAATGCTTAATCTACTACACTACCAGGGCACAGTATTCTATTCTGAGGGCTGCAGCAGTGACTAAAATGAGGACTTTGAAATCTATGGGATAGGATGACAATAAACAGTAAACCAATGAATTCTACTAAACCTTTCATCATGAAAATCAATGGTCTAATATTATTAACATCGTCATGTTATTGAAGGGATTAAGGCATGAGGAAAGAGGTGAATTCATCTTCAAAACCATGTTTGCTGAAAAACAATGTATTCAAACTTTGTAAATAAATCTGAGGAAAATTTAAAAATCAATAATTTAAAAAAGTGCATTAACTAGAGGGAGGGAAAACAACAAAAAACCTTGCTTGCCAGGAGGAAAACATGTGCCATGGACTAGACTAGATGTCAATGATACAAGAGAAAATTTGACCACTAAGGTCCCTACCCTCCAAAAGACCTATTCCAGAGGGAAGATAGATAATGAATATACAAACAAAGCTGTTAAAGACTGTAAGAAACGCAATAAAGAAGAAGGTGAAGTGGGCTGATGGTGAGAGGGAAACTATGGGCTTGTATTGGACTGGCAGTCCCAGAGGACTTCTCAGAGGAGGTGGCATTTTGACTGAGATTCAAAGGAAGCTGGGAGTGGGCCATGGAGCATGATGGGGGGACTTGGCATTCCAGATGGAAGAGCAAGCGAAGGCCCTAAGACAGAAGCAGGCCTGGGGTGCTCAAAGGAACGTGGGACCATCGTGGCTGGGGAGGTAGGTGGTCAGGGAGGGCCACAGGACAACGTACCTCAAAGTCCTGATACTGCTCCTCAGCCAGAGACTTCTTGGCCACCACGAGCACCCGTAGCCCTTCTCGCGCCATGTTGCCACACTGCAAAGCAGACCAGAGTCATTGGTAGCCATGTCTGGGGCCCCATCCTGAACCCAGAATCTCCCGAGAGGGATCTGAGGCTGTGGGGAGAAGGAAACAGTTCCCCCCAACAGCAATCTTTCCTAGATGTCACCTCCTCTCGAGGGGAGGTTGCACAGTGAAGGCTTGTGAGCCAAATGAGGCCAGTGTCTGTGGTCGGCACAGTGTGTGTTTTCATAATTAAATCAACCCAGCAAGAGTTCCGAGGCAGGGGGTGGGGGGGAGAATCTGCATTTCTGGCTTTGCTGGGAGAAATAAAACATCTGAGAAAACCAGGTGTGGCTTCCCAAATAACAAGTCAGTGACGGCTGAGAAACGGCTGCTGTGTTTCCGGAAAACACAGCTGTTGAGAGAAGCCGTCCTAGGACGTGTGACCTGTCAATGTGATGGGGTCAGGAGGACACATCTAGGCCGGCTTCAGGCATTCATACAATCGACCTGACAGCCCGGGACTCCAGGAGAGTAACACGTGGACTCCCCACCTGGAGCTGAGGCATGAAACCAGGATGGCTTCACAGACCCAGAGGACTCCTCCCCCACCCAGTCCTCCTCGTTTGAACTGTGGTGGTCCTCTACTCAGGGGGCCCCAATGAGCCTGCTCCTAATAATCACATCCGTGGAATCTCCTCCCCTGGGCTATGAGCTGGGCCTAGTGATTGGTTTGTAACTGAGAGATACGGCAAAGTGAGGGAGGGTCTCTTCCGAGATTATGAAAGGCTTTACCTTCCACCTCTCTCCTCCTTTCCAGCTCCCTCACTTGGCTCAGTCTGGCAAAGAGAACTCCCATACTGTGAGCTGCCCTGTGGAGAGGTGCCCTGTGGAGGGACCTGCTTGGCAAAGAGCTGAGGGCAGCCTCGAGCCAGGACCATTGAGGACTTGAGCTGTTCCTGGTCTAATAATTAGCTCAGGTGCTAACCACATATGAAGTCCTGGAAGCAAATCCTCCTCTGTCACTTTGAGTCAAGGGTGGCTCCAGTCAACAGTGGGGACTGAGTGACTCAGCTGTGAGTGACTGTGGGGACCCCAGGGAGCCAGCTAATAAGCTGTAACCAGATTGTTGGCCTAGAGGAACTTATACTGACAGTTTGTTACAAGTCTCTTAAGTTTTGGTGTGACTCGGTGTACTGTCCTAGCTATCTAACACCGAGGCCTGGCTCTTACACCCCACAAAGGCCTGCTTCTTCTGAGCATGCTCCCCCGTCCCTGTCTCCCGCCCCTTGACGCCCTCACCTCTTCCTCCAGCCAGTCATTGTACTGCACGATCCCAGCCATGACCACATCCGCCCCCTTCATGTAGAACGTGATTTCTCCCGTTGATTCATCCTAGAGCGGGGAGGACAGGAAGGAATGAGGAGCCGAAAGGAACACCCCCTTTCTGCTCTGACGCCCTGGACTGACAGCACACACAGTGTACTGAACAGACTCAAGTTGAGGGGGTTCTTTTTCTCCCCCAACTTGGCCTAAGATAAAAACTGAGAGGAGGCCTCGCTTTGGGGCAAAGGCCATAGAAAACAAGAAAACTCAAAGCATATGGAAAAAACTGTTAACATGACAAAAAGCAAGATCAAAGGGATGTTGTGAACTTTGTGCACGTTATTACTAAGCCCACAGGAATGGACTCCCATGTTATAAGATTGTTTTAAATCTATACACAGATTAAGCATTGAGATTTAGCACTGAGTAGGAACTGACTCAAAGCTGACTTCCTAGTCAATGTTCCGAGGCTCTGAGTTGCACGAGAGGAGGCTGCCTGTCGTTTCCCAGGGAACAGCTGACAGCACCTGCCTCCGACTTGGCAGCACAACCCCTTAGCCGCGACACCTCCAGAGATCCCTGGAGAACCATGAGTACCCCAACACCGTGGCCCACCAGGAGAAGGGACGTGAGATGCCTGGACATTGGGGTTCCAGGGATGGCCCTCCGCTGTGAGCCATCCTGTGCATTGTAGTGGGCTTAGCAGCATCCTTTACAACAGCAATCAAGGAGTCAAAGAAGGTGGTGCAGTGGATAAACCGCCTAGCTGCTAACCAAAGGTCAGTGGTTCGAACCCGCCAGCTGCTCCACGGGGGAAAAGCCGTGCCTGACTGCTTCTGTGAAGAGCACAGCTCTGGAAACCCTCTGAGCAGTGGCACGCTGTCCTACAGGGTCAAACTGAGTCAGAACCGACTCGATAGTAGTGGGTGTTGGAGAGAAACACCCCGTTCATGAGCCCCCAGTTGCCGAGGACCCCAACTACGAGGCGTTTCTTTGACGGGACGTTCCAATGGCAGCTGGGACTCAGGCCAAGAATAACCGTGGATCAGAACATGAAAGCATCGCATCTTTTCACCCAAACGGCATTGGACAACAGTAAGAGCATCCCTGGAGGAAACACCTCGCCCCCTCCCAGCTTCCTTTACTATCGATGGGGCTGCAGAGAGTGGAGGCCCTTTGTCCAACATAAACACTGGCTCCGCTGCCCCTCCCATGACTCATATCCTCCCACCGGGTTCATCCCACGGTGACTTCGTTCCCATCACAGCACGATTACACAGCCACCGTGTGGGGCGCGCGGCTGGCTGTGTGGGGCGCCTGTGGGGCTTCCTCTCTTTCCACCAGGACCAGGTTCTGGCACCTCTTCACAGCCTCCCCGGCCCGGGTGGTGAGGGTCTACACCAGCGACTTGACTTCATCATTCTGGGTGGGAAGAGGTGGAGAGACAACCCCACTTCAGAAAGACAAAGCCCTGGGACCCCAAGACACGGGCTACCCCCGGCTCAGGGGGTGTGGAGGTGCAGTGGCTCGAGCACTTGGTTGTGAAGCAAAAGGTCTGTAGTTCGAACCCACCCAGTCAGTGTCTCTGGCGAGGATGGTCTGGCCGTCAGCTTCTGAAAGAGTACAGGCTTGGAAACACTCTGAGTGACTCCACTCTGTCTTACAGGGTCACTGTTAAGGTGGAACTGACATAACTGAAGTTTGCTGTTTGGCCAGTTGGTGGCGTAGTGGTAAGGAGTTGAGCTGCCAACCCAAAGGCTCAAGGTTCAAGTCCACCAGCGGCTCTGTAGGAGAAAGGCAGGCAATCTCCTCCCGTGCAATTTACTGCCTCTGAAACTGCACTGGCAGGCCAGCTATGAATTGGTTCCAACACAACAGTACATACCAACAATGATGACAATCTCAAAAGCGCAGCCAGTGTGCGGCACCAGAGTTCTCCTTAGAAACAAGGATGGTGTTTATTGCGGCTTTGTTCACAATAGCAAGGATTTGGAAACAACCTAAGTGCCCATCAAAAAACGAATGGATAGAGAAGCTGTGGTGTATTCTCACGATGGAATACTACGCTGCACTGAAAAACAAGGAACTCGTGCAATATTATTCAAAATGGGTGACCCTGGAGGACGTTATGCGGAGTGAAGTATCTCAGTCACAAAAGGACAAATACTCCATGGTGTCACTGTTGTAAAACAGGACTGACCTCGGGGCTGGGGGGAGACTGAGAAAGATGGGTTCAATAATATATATATATACTGCATTGAAACAGATGAGGGAGAAAACTGTTTAAAAGGGATATGTGATTATGTATTTTTGTCATGACAGGTGTCTAGAGCGAAGGCTATACATAGTGGAGTGGACCTGGGGGGAGGGATTGTAAAACAGTAAAGAATTTTTCTTTTACTTTTCCAAGACTGGGGGTAGCGGGGTGGGAGGGGAGAAAAGTGCAACAATGAATGAATGGAAATCCAAAGTCTCTGTAAATTTTCATTGAAATGAATAATAATTTTTTTAAAGTGAAAAATAAAAAATAATTTAAAAAAAGAAACAAGGATGGTGAACTCCACCTCATATACTATGGCCGTGATACCAGGAGGAGGAGACACTCTCTGGAGGACGACTTCATGCTTGGGAAAGGAGAGGGTCATGGGGAGAGAGGCAGGCCCTCGAGAAGATGGGGCGACAGAGGCTGCAACAGAGGGTTGACGCACGGCAGCGATCAGGACGAGGTGCAGGGCTGGGCAGAGTCCGTTCTGTTGTTTACAGGATCCCCGCGTTTGGGAGCAATTCAACCACGGGATGAGGCAGGGGAAGGTTAGAAAGTCTTAGATGGAGATCAACACCAGTTTTAGGAAAACGTACGTGGATTTGTATACCGTACACTCTGGAGTGTTTAGATAAGGACCTTTGATGACAGAGGGCATTATGTACACTTGGCTGCTAACCGAGAGATCAATCAAGTCCACAGCTGCTCCGTGGGAGAGTGGTGAGCTGCTTCTCCTGTAAAGAGTTACCGCTTTGGAAACCCGACTGAGGGTCGCTATGAGTTGGAAGTGACTCAGAGGCAATGATCGTGGTACGCTCACATAAAAGCCTGGGAGGAAATTGCCTGAAAAGTTAAGAATGACTGTCTTTGGAGTGTAAAAATGAGTTTCAATCCTCTTTATGTATATATTTGTCCCAATGCCTTAGCCGTGGAATGTGGCTGTTTTTATAACCAGGGAATGGAGCGAGGGTATTGTATCAACACTGATTGTTGTTGTCATTAGATGTCCTCCGGTCAAGTACGACTCATAAAGATCCTATGAACCACCAATCTGAACCTTGCCCTGTTCCTTGCCATTCTCACAATCTCTGACACATCAAGGCCGTCACCACAGTCAACATATGAACCCACCTGATGATTAAGGGTTTTCCTGTCTTTCCCTGCCCCTCCTCCTTCCCAAGGATGATGTTCCCTCTCCAAGGAATAACCTCTCTTAGCAACATGCCTGAAGTACCTGAGGTGAAGTTTCACCTTCGCCTCTAACGAGCACTCTAGCTGCATCTTCTCCAAGACCACTGTTGAAAGGCATCAACTCTTCTTCTGTCATCCCTAGTCACTGTCAAGCTCTCAGATATAGCAAGTGACTGAAAAGTCCATGACCTGGATCAGGTACACCTTAGTCATCAAATGGACATCATTGCTCTTCAATATAGACAGTGAAAGTCTTGTCCATTTGGATGCAGCACTCAGGCACACAGGACCAGTTCTGATGACAGTGAGAAGACACAGAACCACACTGTATGTCTGGGAATGAATATCCTTTATAAGTGAATGAAGGGTGGTGTGAACCATTCACTTAATCCCAACGGCTGAGTTGGACCACCCTTCAACCATGACTCAACCCTCGGCTGAACTTGGCAGAGCCCACGGCCCATGAGCTAGCAAAATAAAAACAGGGCCAGAAAGATAGCCGCCCCGTAGCAGACAATCGCCAGGACTCCCTGAGAACATCGCCCACGGATTGACACTGCTTTGTCCAGACCAGGATGTTCTTGACCTCACCATACGGCTCCCAAACTGTGGGCTGGGCCTGGGGTGGGGGTGGGGGGGGGACGCTGGGAAACGATGCAGCTGTGAGGGCCAAGAACTCAGCTCTTCCCACTGTGGAGAAGCCAAGAATCCACATCCGGCCGGCAAAGCCCGGAAGCGCTTACTAGCCTCTGGGACATCCAAAGTCCCTTTCAGTGTGTCACTTTAAAAGTACGTCCTTGATTCACATTTCATCACATACACAGAAGAGCAGCTCTGTCTCCTCCTCTCTGGTGTCACAGCCTGGGCAGCCCACTCTCTCTCTCAGCCCAGCGTGAAGGCTGGACCCCGGAACGTGCTCTGACAGAACAAGGCAACGGGGTTGGACATCCTTTGGGTTTAGGTGGTAAGACTCTCCTGTCCGTTCACTCTGACAGAGGTACCCTGAGAGTTAATCTGTGGAGAGGACCTGGATCCTACCAAGAGCCACTCAATCTGTCCACAGCTGGCTCCTGCCCTAGCTGGCACCCTGACTGCAGGCTGGAAAGTCCCACAACGGTGTCCAATTATAAACACTGTTTATCATTTAATATTATGTTAAATCGCTCAGTGGGGTGGGGTGGGGGTCATTTGTTATACAGTAGTAAGAAGCTAATGTATCCTAACATTACAGAGGGAATTTCTGGTAGCCTAGTGAATAAGGACATGCACTGCCAACCCAAGGACACGTGGTTCGAATCCACCAGCTGCTCCCAGGAAGATAGATGGGCAATTTTCTCCCATGACATTTACAGCCTCTGGAAACCTGCGGGGGGTCAGCTGTGGGTCAGTTCTGACTCGATGGCAAGGAGGTAGGTTGTTTGTTGTTTTTTTTTTTTAACTTTATTATTTTTGTGTGCGTGTACCGTCAAATCAGATCTGACTGGTACAGGAGGAGATTGCCCCTCCTTCCCCGGCAGAGCATCTGGTGTGTTTGTTGCTGTTTTAACATTACAGATGTACTCTGAGCTATCCCACCTCCCTCCTGTCATTTCTGAACACCCAGATCCTAATGGGACAGTCCGGGTGGGAAGAACACAGATTTGGGAGCCAGACAGCCCACTCGACCACTTGCTCACTGTGTAAACTCACACATTTCTTAGCCTCACCGTCCTTCCATTTCTCCCCTGTGAAAACCTATCACCACAGTGCGTGCCTCACTAGTTCAGAGTGAGAATTTAGAAGTCCGTTTATGTAAATAAGCTCAAACAGCACCCTGCGCACAATTCACGTTACAGGAGCGCTGTGTTTTATTACCTTCTGTTTTAATGCAATGCCCAAACACAGTGTTTTTGAACAAGAAGGTCTTTGGTGACCGTGTACTGAGAAAGTCTATCATTGTCACCACTTTTCATCACCATAGGCTCACTTTCTGTGTCTGTGTCACGTGTGATAACGTCTGCAGTATTTCTCTCCCTCCTACTGTTACCACACGCATAACACACTACTGTTGTTGTTAGGTAAGTGCTGCTGAGCCAAGTACCACGCGGAGCAACTCTAGGAACAACAGAGCTGAACCCTGTTCTGTCCTGTGACCTCCTCAGCCCTCTGCTGCAGTCGCCATGTCAATCCACTGAGTGAGGGTCTTCCTCTCCTTCACTGTCCCTCCACCCTTCCCAGCATCAGTCTCATTTCAAAGATTCCCAGGACCTGAGGCCGTTTCCCAGCCCAAGTCAGATAATGTGAAACACCTTTAAAATATAAAGTAAGTACAAGGAAAAGTAATATACAATAGAGGTGATCAGCACAGTATCACTAACGAAAGGGAAGATACAGAGAGAGAAAAGGGTTGACATAAGTCCAAAATACAGGGATAAGGTAACGGAAACTATAATTACATTGTGGGTGTTCAAATGAATGTGAAAATTTTGCTTTTTAAACTTTCACACAAATCACATTCATATATGTATAAATATAAATACATAAGTATGCAAATACACACACACACATATATATACATATATGCACATCCCAAGTATTCTGCTGTTTAATAACCCCCTTCACAATTATGATACTCTGTCCAATTTAAGAAGTCCTGAAGAAAGTGGTATATGAGTACCAGCTTCCCAGGGTCCCCAGGATAAAAAGCGTAACTTTTTATGAGTCAAAGAACAAACACAAAACCATGGAAAATATTAATTCAGATTCTTGGGATTAGCAAAATTTTTTAAGTCTGACGATATCAAACACTGATGAGGAGGTGGAGAAACAGGAATCCCAATATACTGCTTGGAAGACTGAGATCAGTGGTATAAACACTTTAGGGGAGCGGGGAATGTGATGCTATCTGATACCTTGTCCTATCCTGGACCATCCTGACAAACTCATTCCAAACTTCTTGGCAAGGGGACAGGAAGCACAAGCATATGCACAAGAAGCCTGCTTTTTAATAACAAAGAAGTGGCAACAATCCAAGTGCTATGTGTTAAAATGTTTCTCTCCAAACCTAATTGTGTTGCAAATGGGAATCTCTATCCTAAAGTTAAAATCTCATCTGGGCATGGGATGTCTTTGTTATGTAAACAAGAAGGGATTAGTGTAGGCTATGTTTTGAGTTAATTTCTTACAAATTATAAAAGGAATAGTAATATCATATCATATAATAAATATAATGCAGGAATTAGGGAGCTCTGGTGGCCTTAGTGGCAAGAAGCTGTACTGCAATCTCAAATGCAAGTGGTTTGAATCCACCAGATGCTCTGCTGGAGAAGGAGGGGCAGTCTTCTCCTGTGTCAGTCAGATCCAATTTGATGGCACAGAACAAGGGGGGGGTAGATTAACCAAGCAAAGATAGGGGTTGGGGGTAGGGATGGGTAAAATGTGAAATCATATGAAACTCCCCAGGGAATCCAGAAACAGGACCTCTCCTCGGAGCCAACAAAGATTCCTCTCTAGAGAAATTCCCTACAGCTGGCACCCTGGATGTGAACTCCAAGGCTCCCAAACAGTAAGAAAGGCACACAGTTCAAATCCACTGGTTGCTCCTCTGCAGAAGGGTGGACAAGCTCCTCCCACGTGGTTTACAGCCTCTGAAAACCCACTGGAGGTCAGCTATCGGTCCCTTCTGACTAAAAGGCACATAAGGACAAGTGTAAGAAAAAGGAGTTTTTGTTAAAATCATTCATGTGCAGTATTTCTGTCATTGCAGCTCTAGATAACTGAGTGAGATAAACAGGGAACTAGCACAAGCTGATACAATAGAGGTTTTGTTTTTTGGTTTTAGTTTGTTTATTTTTCATTTCAATGAACATCTACAGAGATTTTGGAATTCCATTCATTCATTGTTGCACCCCTCTCCCTGCACAAACCCCTCCCCCTTTGCTCCTCTCCTTGAAAAGCAAAAGAAAAACTCCCTCATTGGTACACAATACCCCCCACCTCCGCACCTCCCCAAACTCCACCCCCTACCCCACTCTGCAACCCTCATTGCGTACTCCTACGATAAAAATAATGCCCTAAAATATAATACTTTTAGACTATTCTCTCCCCCATAGACTTCAATGCCGACAATTGAGGTTTATGTTGTTTTTGTTGTTTTTGTGTACCATGGAGCTGGAACAGACTCACAGCTGACCCTCCAGCGGATTTGCAGAGGCAGCAAACTGCATGAGAGGCGATTTCGCCCCTCTTTCTCCTCAGGAGCAGCTGGTGGATTTGAACCTCATGCCCTTGGGTTGCCAGCTCAACTCCTAACTAATAATCCATCAGAATTCCCAAAGTATTAGAATTAAAGATATGAATTAAGAATTTTTAAAAATGTTGACCAAAACCAGTAAGTAGAATAAACGTGTATCCACTACAATGCCTTTTACATACAGAATTTAAAAAACAATCCCAAGCCCACTCCCGTCGAATCGACTCTGGATCATACAATCCACCCAAGTTTCCAAGGCTGTAAGTATTTACAGCCAGTGACACACTGACGGTGGCAACGGGGTCAAGTGTGTCAGAGACGATGAGGGTGACTCCGGATAGGGCAGGGTTCACTGTTCGTAGAGTGGCTGTGGGGTGTGGTCCGCTGTAGAACGGCACATTCATAACCACCACCACCACGCTTACCATCATCAAGCTGGAATCAAACCACAGCTGGCCTTCTGCCGAGTAGTCTAAGGCTGTAAATCACATGGAAGGAGATCGCTCATCCTTCTCTCTCAGAGCCGCTGGCGGACTTGAACTTCAAAGGGGCACAGCCTTTGGGTTAACAGTGCAACTCCCTACGCACTATGCCACCAGCATGGAATAAAGAACAAGTCAAGCTATTTAACGAAACCAAAGTGCAGTATCAAGAAATACCTTATCTGGACCCTCAGCCAGGTGGCCTGGCACAGTAACCACAGCAATGGGCTCGAGTGTGTCAGAGATGTTGAAGGAGGCACTAAATAGGACAGGGTTCAGATCTGTTGTTCATAGGGTCGTTACAATCGTGCTTGACTCGAAGGCACCTAATAATAGCAACCTATTCTCTCTGTGATCACTCAGACCTAGCTGGATATTTGTCATGTTTGGACATTTTTATTATAGAATCATTGACAACATTCACTGTAAATTCCGAATATTGAGAAATAACTGAATATAAGAATCAGTTGAGAAGCTTTCATAAAGCAGGAAGGGACTAATTCCTTCCCCCCCGCCCCGTCCCCATAATAGCATCTGAATATATAAACAATCAAAGCACAAAATGGCCAGAAAGGATGTCAAGGAACAACGGGAGGGGAAAGGTGATTGTAATCTGTAAACACAACAATAATTGAACTATATGTGCCTGAGAATGCTTTTTCATGCAAAGAGTAAACTGTCATTTTTATGACTTGACATAAGGGACCCTAATAAAACATTTCTTTCACTATGTTGTTTACCATTGAGTTGGGACTGACCCACAGCTGACCCTCCAAGTGGTTTACAGAAGCAGTTAATCCCATCCATCTTTCTCCCACGGAGTAGCGGGTGGATTTTAACCGTGCACCTTCGGGATAGCAGTGCAGCTTCTTGCCACTAGGCCACCGGAGCTAAGAAACACCTTCTTTGTACAAGCATCCCTCAAAGACACTGTGGGCTCAGTTCCAAACCACAGGAATAAACCAAATATTGCAAAAAAACCAAGTCACACAGGGATTTGTTTGTTTGTTTTCCAATACATAGAAAAGTGATACTTCTGAGAGAATTTCCTAAATGCACGCGCACTCACCCGGACAATGATGCCCATGCGTTTGCTCTCGTAGGTGAACGGGAAGATCTGCAAGATGGTGAAGTTCAGGATCTGGTCGCCAGGGGTCCTCAGCTGCATGGAAGACTGGTCGCGGCCCACCAGCGTCAAGCCCACGCTCTCTGTCCACTGTACCAGGGCCACCTACATACGACACAGGATCAAAGGTCACACGTGCAGCCCAGGGTCCCGGTTCACAGGTCACACAAATGAACACAAGGGCTGCTAGGAGTGGACACAAGTGACCAGCAAGCAATCACGGCTGTCACTAGGGATGGCCAGGGCTTTGTCCCTTGGGCCAGGAAGCCATCACTGCTTCCCAGCCTGCAACAAATCCTCCAGGCCCTTAAGGCTCCCGTGGACAACACTGTCCCCCTTGAGTTTCAAACTGTCTTCTCCACCCCACCCCTAGCTCAAAGGAAGAGGCACCCAGAGCTGGGGCAACTCCAGGCAGTTCTAGGACAAGGTGGGTGAGAAACAGTTAAGCACTTAGCTGGCACTGGAAGATTGGCGGTTCAAGACCAGCCAGAAGCTATGCAGGACAAAGACAACCGTTTCCATAAAGACCACAGCCTGGAGTTTTACAGAAGTGGAGTGAGATGGGGTTGTCTCTTCTCTGTCACACAGGAGGCTCTGACTCAGAACCAACATTAAGGTATCCAGGAACACAGCCACAGACCAATCCAGACAAATGTGCTCCAAAGAAAACCCAAAGGTGAAGCACAAATACAGAGAAGCAAGGAGCCTAACACTGGTTATTGCTATTCTTCAAGTGTCTGGCGCCAGTAAATGCTGAATGCTCAGCTGTTAACCAAAATGTCGGTGGTAAGAATCTATTAAAAAGTCTCCAGGAAGAAAGGCCTGGCAGTATACAACTGAAGAGTCGGCCACTGAACGCTGCAGACACACTGTGCCCTGATACACGAGTGTGAACCAGGAGTCTGAATCTATTCAAGACAACTAGTTTTGCTATGATTTAGACCCTGTTTTAAGTACCATTATGAGTAGTCAATCAGGATTAATGTTTAATTAGCTGTTACTCTGGCCAATGAAAAGAATCATTACACTGTCCTCCAACTTTCAAAATGAGACATAATCAAGGAATGTGGGGCAATTTGGGGTTTTTTGGTGTGTTTTTTTTTCTACTAGGCTGTGCAAGTCACTCATTCTTCTTTTTTTTATTATTCAATGACTATGGTTTTTCAATACAACCTGTCTAGCCTGCTAACGATTTTTCTTGTCTAGCCTGCTAACGATTTTTCTTAACAAATCAGTGAAGAAGTGAAGATCAGTGTGTACAAAATACTCCCATCTGGGCATACTGCATAAAAATGTTTACAGAGAGGATATTCAATGACACTCTTCTACCTTCGATGTTAGCTTTTTTTCCCCTTTTTTTTATTATTATTAAATTTATTAGTTTTAATGAACATTTACAGAGATTTTGGGTTTTCATTCATTCATTGTTGCACTGTTTTCTCCACCCTCCACCCCAGTTCGTTCTTCTTCCCCCATGTCTGTTTGAATTGTCCAATTGCCACAGTGCTTGTCAAAGCCAGTTCTGATTGATCTCCTTTGTCAGTGTGTCCCTTGCCATTCCCTATCACTCCTCCCTGAGAGAGACTTCACCCTGATTCCTAAGGAAAAGGGGATGGCGTATTCTCTTAACTACTTCCTGCTGGGTTTCAGGGTGAATGTCTTCTCTCACCACTCTAAAGGGCCCCCTTGGCAGTAGGAAACACATAGACTATTATGGAGATTGATTTTGGAATTTAGATGCACTGTTATCAATTGTGCTTAGCCGTCATGTTCATATCCTTGAAGATGTATCATGGAAGTGTTGCAGCCTAGAAGATACAAGTTTAACTAACAAGTTAAAAGTGCATGACTCAAAAATTGAAAAGCAATAATATTCTGAGTAGAGGTTCTAATAGTGGTACAAATCAAGTTACAGAGGTAAGGTGGTTCCATTGCCATCCTTACTCTAACTTAATTCTTTTTTTTAATTTAAATTTGTTATTAATTTAAGTGAAAATTTACAGAGGCTTTGGATTTCCATTCATTCATTGTTGTAGATTTGTCCCCTCCCAAGGCTCCCCCCCACCAGACATTACCCTCTTGGAAAAGTAAAAGAAAAGATTCTTTCATTATTTTACAAACCCTCCCCCAGGTCCACTCCACCTTGTAGCCATCGCTCTAGACTCCTGTCATGACCGAAATACCTAATCACATATCTCTTTTAAACAGTTTTCTCCCTTCTCTGTTTCAGAGCAGCATACATTATTGAACCCATCTTACTCATGGACGTTAGCTTTGAGTAACTCTCTGAAATACTTTCAGAAGGTGCCCACTTGTTCAGGATCTGCAGCTGCCTCACATAAGCAAACACGAAGCCCTGACTCTTCTCCAGCCTCCTTTACATATCAATTCTGTCACAAAGGGCAGCCAAACGTCTTCCCTGGGTGTTTTCACACATTCTTGCTACTGAAAGGAGCTTTACATTGTTGTTTTGAAGCAGCCCCTACTTCACTCTGAAGAGAAGCAATTTAATCGTCTGGAAAAAAAGTCTGTGAGATGGGTGCTCAGGGGTTCCCCTCCACAATGTGTTAACTTCAGTGGAGGTGGAAACAGTGAAAGGACGGAGCCGGAAATGGTTTCTGGAGCTGGGGGTGCAGCTCTAGGGTTGGCTAGCCCAGCTGACCCCTCGACGGCGTGTGTGGGGAGAACTGAATGAGTAAGCTCAAAGCATCAAAAGTGATGATGCATCCATGTCTGTGTCTACAACTGTGTATTACAACTGTTTGGAATCTTCCTTAAAGATGGGATAAATTATGTATACTGCATTGAAACAGATGAGTGAGAGAACTGTTTAAAAGGGATGTATGATTAGGTATTATTGTCATCACATGAGTCCAGAACGAAGGTTGCACAGTGGGGTGGACTTGGGGGGCGGTATTGTACAACAATGAAAGATTTTTTCTTTCACTTTTCAAAGAGAAGAATGAACTGGAGGGGAGGGGTGGGCAGGGAGAAAGTGCAACAATGAATGAATGGAAATCCAAAATCTCTACATTTTCATTAAAATTAATAATAATAAAAAAAATTTTTAATTGCGTTTTCTCTACTGGACACATTTCTCCACAGAGCTGAGGAGACCATGATGGTTCCCTGCCCCTCAACCCCCACCCCGTGGATCCAGCCTCCTAATCAAAACCTCAGGTCTCTGTGGGGGTTATTCAAACAGGATATGAGCCCCGAGGGGGGGTCTTTCATACTCATCTCACACTCCCCCACTCCACGTTAACACATGTTCCTGTTAATTTAAAGCCCCTTCCCAACAGGGTTGCCTGCCTTCAGCTTCTCCTGGGATCCTTCCTGGGGAAGAGGGGTGACAACTTTGGAGTAGGGTACCCATTAATGTGCCTCAGTTTGGGCAGAAACACATGCGTTTGGTGTGAACTGATACACAGCACTTCTGTCCAAAGCAAGAGGACGTCCTGTCACAAAATCAGGCCTGCAGTGTCCTGAGTCTCCTGAAAAGTCTGAGCTGGGGTCTTGTTTACCCTCGGGTCAGATCCTCCAGCAGGTTTTTTCAAGAGGCAGTCAACTGCAGAGAAGACTGCCCATCCTTCTGGATTTGAACTATGTACCTTTGGGATTGCAGTGCAGATTCTTACCACTATGCCACAAGAGTTCCCTTAAGGAACTTAGGTCTTAGAGGATCCACAAATCAGAATATTCAGAGATGGGAGTTAACAGCAGAATAAGAGAGCTCACTAAAGTCAATGAAAGAAAGAAGTAATCAGTGTTCACTAGATCACACTCCAGAGCGCTTGTAGACTAGAGGGTAAGGAGTTGTGCTGCCAAGCCAAAGGCAGTTGGTTCAAACCCACCAAGATGCTCAGCAGGAGAAAGATGGGAAATCTCTTCCCCTGGAATTTACAGCCTCTGAAAACCCACTGGAGGGTCAGCCATGAGTCAGCTCCCACTAAACAGTAATGAGTCAGTGAAAAAAAACTCCAGAAAGAGAGAAGGGGCTGAGGACAGGGAGAGCCTCTCATGAGTCGGTGTTTGTGTTCTGGTTTGGGTCAAGGAGGAAATCAAAGAACAGCGTGTTCATTTCCCCCACTAAGCCCCCCGGCCGGCTGAAAAATGAACACAGAAACCATCAATGAAAGGGGGTTTTCATCATTTGCCGGCCAGCTATAAACCACCTGTGACAAGTTTTAATAATTTTCCCTTTGTACCTGGGCAGGGTGTGCTTGGGAAACTGGCCAGCCCGTGCTCCACAGCCTTGGATTCCTCTCAAAGGCGGGGCCCTTATTAATCACCAGGCCACGTCTGATACACAGAGGGGAACCTGATAGCCGATTCAGAGGCCTCTGGTGGCGTTCAATAAGATACATGCCCGCCCGGTGCTCAAAAGAAGTGGTGGGCCACAATGCAGCCTTTCAGGATTATACAGGCGGTCACAGATGCAGGCTCTTTCACTGTTGTTGTTTAATTAAGAAATATATTTAAAAAGTGAGCCACATGGTGGCTGAGGGCTCAAATTCCGCCAGACACCAAACAGGTCACCCAGAAGCCGGAGGTAAACTGTCAAATCCAAAGTGGCAAGTGCCACCTGGTGGCACGGAGAAGGGAGAAGCCTCACCCCGACTTCCAGATTCCAGTTTTTGCTTCAAGGGAAGCTGATTTATATATAAAATGACGGGGCCTTCAAGTATTGCATTAATTTCTGTGGTTTTGTTTTGGTGGTTGTGTTTTTTAACTTACACAGGGTAAACAAAACACAGGGGGCAGTGTGTGGGAATCAGAGGGCAAAATAAAGGCATAAAAGGCCTTGATCCAAATTTCTCAGACCCTCTCCACTCCCAATTCAGCCCTGGCGATTTCGCTGATAAAAATTCATCTCTGAACAGGAATCGTTTAGAGAAGCAGCATCCTGCCAGAGCGTAAAGAGTTATTTTGAAGCATTTATTAATTTATAAAGAGGAGCCCTGGTCGCGTGTGGCCTAAGCACGGAGCAGCTAACGAAAAGGTAGGGGGTTCAAACCTAACCCAGCAGGCTGGCAAAAGAAAGCCATGGCAGTGTCCACCCATAAAGATCCCAGTGCTGGCAAGTCAGGGAAGCAGTTGTATTG